GTGTGTGTGTGTGTGTGTGTGTGTGTGTGTGTTAGCAGTTGCTCGATGCGGCCGCTGGGTCGGTTTGTGGAGCCACCAAAAAACAACTACATATGTGTGTGTACAGCCACACACATATATATAAATACAATAAATATATATATATTATTTCATTTTTTATTTTTTTATTTTATTTAGTCATTTATCAGAGTTGATGCAGATGTGCTGTGTCTAGTGGCAGCTGTATGAACACGTCTCTGACACAGTTCCTCTCTGAGACCGATAGGCGGCGCTCTTCTCTCATTCAGACATCATTCAGCTCTGTGTCTGCACACGGAAGAGCTCGTGTAAATACCTCTTCTAACACCAGAGAAGTCCAGCTGTTTCAGTCGAGGTCGTTGGGTAGAGTTGATCCGAGGAACGCTCAGTGATATGTTTACTCTGTTGTTCATCATATTCATATCTGCTCATGATCATCCTCAAACACGAATGAGCTGCTTAACTCAACTCAGTCTAGACCAGATCCATGAACGCGATCTAAACACTATAACACGGTTTTATTTTAATGTAATATTATTATTATTAATTACTTTTATTCGTTTCTTTTTTACGATAAAAGCTAAAGGCTAATCTATAATAAATCACCGAATTTCTTTTAAAGAAATAGTCTGCTTTATTTATAGCCTATTTATTATTTTAACATAAATTAAATCATTAACATCGCAGCTAACGACATAATTAATAATCCTACGTTCATTTTAAATGCATTCTGATCAGAAGATTATGAAGATATTTATATAAAGATTTTAAAAAATGTAATTTGCAATATATGTTACTTTTTTTTTTTTTTTTGCTAAAACGTTTTTGTACATGTTCCGTTAATTTAGGAAATGAATTAGGCTGCGTGTTTACTGCTATTTACACATGCTTATGCCAGCTGGTTTAGTTATTAATAACGAACTGGAAATGTTTCAGAAGCAGAAGTGAATTAAAGGTGTTTTCAGGTATTAATGTTTAAGGTCAGGTTTATCTGTAGGATCATAATGTCACATCATTACATAAATCTGAAACTATTAGCCTAATTGAGCCGAATAAAGACGAATCAATAACAGCCCGTTTAATACTGATGGTTTATTAAAAAATGATAGTTCTGTCATAATTTACTCGCATGTTATTCAAACCTGTGATTCTCTCTCTTCTGTGAAACACAGGTCATATTTTAAAGAATGTCTGGAACCAAACAAACACTGACTTTAATATTTACTAAAAATTAAAATAAAAGAGAGAGAGAGAAAAGAAACAAACACAGAGACATTTCTCAAATCATCTTCGTTTTTGTTTCGCAGAAGAAGAAAGCCATACAGGTTAGGAACGATGTGAGGCGAGAACATGAGGAGATTTCAGGTTTTTGAGTGAATATCACTTTGAGATGTGATTGAGAAATTAAAGCATTTCCTCAAGTAATCAGAACAAACTTTGTGTGTGTGTGTGAGAGAGAGAGAGAGAGAGAGTGTGTGTGTGAGAGAGAGAGAGAGAGAGAGAG